AATATACAGAAAGATGTAAAATTTCACGGGCTTCCCGAATATGTCGTTACTTTTTAAAAAATATGTTTGTTTGGTAACAATATCCTTAAAATACAGAGGGAAACTTATTTTTGCCAGGGGTATATATTAGTGATTCATCAAAAAACCGTAACTCTTGCGCATCTCGACAGGAAAATATTCAGAAACAAATGATTCTTTCTTCAGATTATGAGTGGTTCAGACAATTTATATTAGATAAATTATCAGGAAGAGAAACAATCACAATCACAACTAATACAACCGTATAGACAATCACTACTAATACAAGCGAAGGAAAAAATGGGCAAACTCGATGGAAAGATTGCTCTCATCACGGGTGGTTCTGAGGGTATTGGTTTGGCTACGGCTCAGCGGTTCCTCGCTGAAGGTGCAGCGCATGTCTTCATTACTGGACGACGCCAAGAAGCTCTTGACAAAGCTGTGAAAACATTGGGTGGTAAAAACGTAACCGCAGTACAAGGTGACACATCCAATCTGGCTGATCTCGACAAGTTATACAGCTTGATTCAGAAGGAGAAGGGTCATCTGGACATTCTTTTTGCCAATGCAGGTTCAGGAAGAGTCGCACCGCTCGGCTCGATCACTGAAAAACATTTTGACGACACTTTCAACGTCAATGCGAAAGGAGTACTCTTCACCGTCCAAAAGGCTTTGCCAATATTCACCAATGGTGGATCGATCATTCTCAATGGATCTATCGCATCCGTCAAAGGGGTACCTGGTTTGAGCGTCTATTGTGCTACGAAGGCAGCTCTTCGCTCTTTTGCGCGTTGCTGGACGGTGGACCTAAAAGAGCGCAAAATCCGGGTCAATACTGTGAGTCCAGGGCCAATCGACACGCCCGCAATGAGATCTGCTACAAGCAACGAAGAAGAACAGAAAGCATTCATGGCCACCATGGCAGCTGGTACTGTAATGAATCGCATTGGCGAGTCTGATGAAGTTGCCAAAGCTGTCGTCTTTCTCGCTTCGGATGATAGCAGCTATGTGACGGGCATCGAACTTTTCGTCGATGGAGGAACAGCACAAATTTAAGTCAAGTGATTAGTGTATTTATATTTCTAATAAAATAAAACATACCCAGGTCAACTGTCATGCGTCATTCGCGAAGCGATCGCTATTGAGTCGCGGCTGGATGTTGAGAAATTCTTATCTAGAGAGAAGGGGAATTTTTAAGAGTCGCAGTGAATTCGCGATGTCGCGACGCGACTCTTACGATCGTGAATTTCAACAGTTGTACTCTACTTAGTCGCGCTACTACTCTTCCTGTGACAAGCTTTTCTTCAAAAGACTTGCTTAGTCGCAGTGTGAGTCTTGATGGTTTCGTGTTATACCTTATATTATGTTTCTGAACTCATATAACACAGAAAATGAGAAAAAGAAAAGAACAGGCCTCGTATATGTGTATTGTGCTCATGGTTACGTTGTTCTCTTCTTTTATCTTTGACCTATTAGAGCTCTAGCAGTTAAAGAATACGATTGCATTGTTTTTAACTGCGAGAACTCTATTGTATACACAACGTATATGTTTTCTTTTAATAGTCATCACAAGTCGACAATCTTGAGATCATTTCTGACAGAATCTTGATTTCAGGACTTTCTTCCTGAGAAAGTCATTTTTTTCAGATTTTCAGTCAGAATCTGAGAAAAACAATTCATTTTCTTTCTTTGCGTTCTCTCACTGTATTGAACTTAGTAATTTAGCTTAGTAATTTTAGAAATTTTAAAGCACTGAAGTAAATAAAAAGCAGAAACTTCGATAGATGGAGAATTAGAGCATTTATGTGTTTTCTTACCTGCATTTATTTTACTTATACTTCGTAACAGAAGAAGTTGTTAAAAATGCCTCTTTACTTATTTCTTATTTTCATCATTTTATTGTTCTGCGGCCTGTTTCTTAAAAAAACTTAAGTGAATTTTCCTACTTAAGTTTCCACTTAACTTAAGTGAACTAAAAAGTATACTTACGTTAAAAAAAATTGTATATTTTTTCCTGTGTTTGATTGCGTCAAAGAAATTTAAACAAAAAAAGTTTAGAAAATGGCTATAATTGCTATATTAACAGCAAGAGCATTGAGACGAGAACGTGTTTATTTCGATCGTTCAAATCCACTGGATTTTATGACAGAAAAGCAATTTTTAGCACGTTATCGATTTCCAAAACAAGCAGTATTAGGTTTATTAAATGAAATTAAATCTCATCTTCAACGTCCAAGCTCTCGTAATCATGCCATACCTCCGGTTATCCAAGTTTTAACAGCGTTACGTTTTTATGCCAGTGTTCGTTTTTTTATATGGATGGTGATGTGCATAGATTATCTAAAACATCTGTTAGCAGAATAGTGTTTCAAATATCATCGATTTTGTCTGAGAAAGCTATTCAAAGTATTAAGTTTCCAACAATAGTACAAGAACAGAATTTGATAATGCAAACATTTTATCAACGAACAAAATTTCGTTGATAAAATGTTTGCATTATCAAATTCTGTTTTTGTACTATTGTTAGAAATTTAATATTTTAAATAGCTTTTTCTGTTAAAGAAAATTTGAAGTTTACATGTGTTAATTGGGATGGGTATGGTAGATCGAAGGGATTATACTCGTCATTTATTTAATCTCTTTTTTTAAATGATGATCGAAATTATACTTAGATAAGCATGGTATTATACTGAGGCACATATACCTGCAGTAATGATAGAGGAGCACAGTTTTATGCAAACAACATCCTCCCAGAACCCCCAAAAAACACTCAGTTTCGGTCGGACGGAATCTGTGCATGATCGTAGCGTCGTTATGCTGCTGTAGTTGGGTAGTTAAAAGGAGTGAGCGATCAGGCTTCCATTGAACAACGATGGTGCAATACCTGGTTGTCCAAGAATGAAGGCATCATATATCGAACCAGGCCAACGAACAACCGCACAATGATGAAATCATGATCGCAAAAATCTGGCAATTAATCAAATTATTTTTTTTGTTTAGAACGTTATGTAAATTATCACTCAATCAATTGCCAGGTTGCTTGTGATCATAATTTGATGATTCGAAGCACGATTGTACGTTGGCCCGGTTCGACACATGATGCCTTCATTCTTGGACAATCAAGTATTGCAGCATCATTGTCGAATGGTATTTATGGTGATGGTTGGCTGTTAGGAGACAGTGGTTATCCGCTACGAGCCTGGCTGCTAACTCCTTTTAACGATCCAACTACAGCAGCACAAAGGCGATACAATCGAGCACTGAAATCTGCACGGTCGACAATTGAACGTGCTTTTGGAGTACTGAAAGCGCGATTTTGCTGCTTAGATAGATCGGGTGGTGGTCTTCAGTTTACACCAGAACGATGTGTCAAAATAATATTGTCATGCATGTACTTGCGTAATTTAGCACGTCGATTACAATTAGAGGATGATGATGAAGAAAAAATAAGACAAATTTTGCTTGATGAATTTGACGATGGTGTAAATACTCAAGAAGTTCCCACAGGAACACGAGTTCGTGATAGTGTTGTACAAAACTATTTTTCGAAGTAATCTAAAATAGAAAAGAAAAGAAAAGAAAAGAAAAGAAAGAATATATGATTTACTTATTGTTGTTTTGATCTAAATTTAAAACAATAAAAAATGGATAGATCGCGAAAAAACTAGAAACTTTAACGAGCGTTAGACTGTGGCATACAAGGCAGTTGATGAAACGATAAATAAACTATGGATTTCTGCTAACTACTAAAAATAATATTCGATTTTTTAACACATAAAAGTAGATAAAACTCTGAATCTACACTTGAATTGTAACAGAATAAAGTTTCTATAACAAGTAAATGTTGTAAAGATATGCACGAAAAACGAGACTTGTCATTCTTAACTT